TATAGAAGAGAGCTTAATTTTTAACCTAGGTCCAAAATAATCCCTTAGGGAAAATTAAAAAAAAATATATTAACTTTGGCCTCTCAATATATTTACGAGTATTTAAAGTATGTACACAAAAACAAAATTAGTTTTATTATAAATAGTGATTTTTAGTTACTCCAAAGAGCCAGTAATTCCTTCATGGGACAATGTATACGCTTTTACAACAAAGTCCCAGAAAATATGCAGAGCTTATGTATCAAAATGTTTAAATTAATTATTAAGCAAAAATTATCTAGTAAGGGATATTATACTACTAAAAAGTACACTAATAATAACCCCAGGGAATGACGTGATCGCTACCATGCTGTTTTCAGAACAATTGTCTAAAATATTATATAGTCAATTGTGCCCTTTAAAAAAAGTCCCGCTGGGTTTCTTGTTGGTTCTTTCCAGGACAAAGGATTTTTTGCGAACCAGTTAAAAAAATTACTTTCAATAAGTATTATGTACTGTAATCAATATTGAATAAAAATGATTCTATTTTATTCTATTCTATCCTAATAATGACCAATAATTTCAGTCAGCACCAGGAGCATTTTTAGAATACATTGATAAAACGTGCAAGTAAAATGAATCAAAGTCTAGACTACATACATAGATAATATTATGTTCTCACAGTTCGTACATTATTTGAAAGCGACGTATACAGCTGTCTTCACAAAGCAATGTAATAATAATAATGCCCTCCAGAACGAATTTCTTTTTTTTTATAGGATCGGGTGACAAACGAGCACACAGTCCACCTGATGGTATAAGTGGTTACTGTGACCCATAGAAATCTACATTTATCCTCAATAAAGACTCAAGATGCAGATGCGTTGTCACCCGTGAGGACTAAGATGGAATGCCTCTTTGCCAGTAAAAAGGGTCTCCGGTTCTCTACGCTCACCATACGAAACACAGCAGCGTTAAGCTGCTATCTTACGCTGGTTTTCTGTGAAAGCGTGGTCCTTCCCCGTTCGAGCCGACCCATTCGTGCTACAACCATAATATAGCTACAGCATGGGTCTACCAAGTAGGAAACGTTACTGCGGCAAATCTCATCGGAGACTAGGTACATTGCTTTGTGACATTGCATGAGTGTAGGCGCAAGCACAAGTACACTCTCTATTTCCTCACTCTCATATTCCGACGGGACGGTAACCGACTGGAGAGAGAGATCAGGCGCAGGACCAACAACTTTACGTGCTTTCCGAGGCACAAGGGTGTAAAACCTCTAACTACCTGATTCCAGGTTACTACTGAGAATTTCTTGTCGGACAAATTCAGTAATAGATTTTGACACGAACCGGGATTCGAACCCGGGACCTCAAGATATCAGCCGTAATTACGGCCGCTAGATTTTTTTTTTATTTATTAAGCATAATTATGTTACATTATCCAGTACAACACTAGCATATAAACCTCTAGGGGTTTATCTTCGCTAGAGAATGGTCTTATAGAATCAAAGATGTATTAATATTAAATCACAATAAGCCAGTATGAAGTACTTACTACAATAAGTATAGTTGATTTATCAAATATGATTTAAGTTTACTTTTAAACAGTTTTGATCAAATAGGCAGTCATAAAGCAATGTATCGTCTACACGAATGAAAAGAAAATAGTATGATTGATGCGCAGTTAAGTAAGGACGATACAAACTCACGGGATACCGTGGTGTAATATTATATTATTAATAAATATTCCTTGCCGTAGTTGACACGCGGAAAAGAACGTAACGTGTTTTTGGGTACCAGAGAATAACCAGACCAAGGGCTGCCAACCCAATGATCCCAACCGAGAATTAAACAAAAATAGCTTTAGAACTGGGTAGATAAGGCAAGGATACTCACAAGACTGGAGCACTCCTCGTGGTTATGGTGAAATATAAATATTTATGCTGAAGTTCCAGTGTATACACAGCACTGCATTTCGAATGTACATGGACACGAGCAATTGCACGATAGTCTTAAAACTTCTCTCTAATCTATTGAGTATTTTTAAACGTACGGTAACGAACACGGTTTATGCGTACGCGGCCATCTTGCTTCTTATCTTTCTTGGCGATAGGTGGCGCACCATTCTTGAGTAGTGCGTATATAGGGGAAACGGGAGGATAGGAAATACTTAGGAAAATGATATTATATCGGAACTGTTCCCAAGCCACAACATACATTATTTATTATATTCATTCATTCATCACAGCCTTTTAAAAATCTACTGCTAAACATAGGCCTCCCAACACCCATGGGTGTAGTTTTGTAAAATGTGTATTATTCTCGTAAATTTAGTGTAAATTCTATACTTAACTAGTTATGTTTTAAATTCGGGGGAAAAAATTCTTTGCATTCGGTTTGGATAAAATTAAAGAAAATCGCTTTGGTTTTACTGTTTGTATCTGGCTGTATTAATATCTATACATATGGGACATCAAGAAAAAGAAAAATAAAAGTAATAAACACTTTTAAATTGTTTTTTCTGTCCGCCAAAATGAGTGAATCTAACGAATAAATTCGATACATTCTGAAGTTTTATTACAAAAAAGGGAAAAATGCGACTCAAGTTGCGAAAAATAATTTTTGACGTTCGTGGGCCTAATGCAGTGTCAGTTATAGTAGCATAAAGTTGGTTCAAGCGTTTTCAGCCCAGGAATTTTGAAGTCAAAAATGCAACTCACTCTGGTCGCCCTCATACGGAAGTGGAGTAAAGTGGAGCACAATCGGGATATTAGTAGTTACGACATAGCAGAGGAATTGAGAATTGACAAACCAGAAAACAGTTATGATTCATTTTAAGAAGTCTGGCTATACAAAAAAGCTCGATATTTGAGTACTACACGAGCTCACTGTATGAAACCTAATGAATCGTGTACTCATTTGCGATTGTCTATTAAAACGTAATTAAACCGAAATATATTTGGAAAGATTGATTAATGGTGATGAAAAATCGATCATTTTCGACAAGAACGTGCGAAAAAAATCATGGTCAAATGGTAGTCAAGCTCCACAGACTGTAGCGAAACCCGGATTAACATGCAATAAGGTGATGCTGTGTGAATGGTGGGATTGGAAGCGAATCGTTTATTATGACCTTTTACTGCCATACAAAACCATTGATTGAATCTCTACTGCCAACAACTAATGAGAATCAAGCAATAAATTGAGAAAAAAAATACTCGAATTGGTCAACAGAAAGGAGAGTACTTTCATAACGATAACGCCAGACCACACATCTTTAGCCACTCAGCAAACAAAGCTTGGATGGGAAGTGTTAATACATCCACCAAATGTTCCTGACCTTGCTCCCTCAGTATTTAACCTGTTTTGGTCTCTTCATAATTTTGGGTAGTGTTTATTTAACATCAAGGGAGGACTGACAAAACTACTTGTCGCATTTTTTGATCAAAAATCCCAAGATTTCTACAGCAACGGGATTATATCATTACCTACAAGATGGCAACAAGTTATCGAACAAAATGGCGTATATATATTGTTAGGAATGAGGGTAAAAAAAATAAAAGGAAATACGAACAAATTAAGGTACAACTGTATTCTCCCACTCGTTTTAGCAGTATAAAGAATCGCGCGAGTACTTTCATTGTTTCTTAACGTACCCAAATATGTTAACAAATGTCAAAAGAAATGCTGGAGATATAGACGAGCTGTAATTTTGCATTAAAAGGTAATTTAATTTGCTCAAGGTTTGTTATAATTTGATAGTTCATGTGAAATATGATTTGCGTGGGCTACGTGAAATGTATTCAAGAGCTAAATCATTGTGTGCTGTGGAATAAAACTTGTTAAAGATAAAAAAGGGTTTCTTTTCATGCCTGCCTAAAAGTGCGTGCCTAGAAGATTGCAATACAGTGGAAGATATGAATGACAATATTTATGAAAATTAAAAATGATATGGGTTGTACTGGCCAACAAGCTGATCTTAACCGTCTGGAACAATATTATATTGATAATCGAATTGGAATAAATATAAATAAATGTTTTTATATCTCCTTTACTCGCAAGAAACATCCAATCAATTTTGAATACTATATTAGTCATTTTTACACGGAATATGCAACGGATATATACCAAAATACTGAGTTTCTGCGCCCCGAATGTTAGAACGAGACACACAAAATTATTTGCTGTAACACGATCAAAGTAAAATTACGCACAAAACGCATTGGTCAGTCGATTGCATAGAACTATTAATAACCAATTTAATGTTACTGACATTTTTCATAGCAGTAGGCATGTGTTTAAGAGGGAAGTTCTTGAAGTACTTGAAGGAAATGGTTAATATGTATATTGAACACACACACACACACACACACACACACACACACACACACACACACACACAGCGCGCGAGTACACGGACACAAAGGTCAGAGAGAAAGAGCGTCTCTCTTTCTCTCTGATTGCCGTTTTTAATTGTCAATTCTAAAATTGTATGTTTTTGAGGCTCAAACATCAGATATCATAACATGCCTGTTCTGCTCTGCCAATCACTTGGCAACTGATAAAAGTTGCCCTGAACATACTAGACAAAAAGGCATTAAACTGGTCATGTCCCAAGAAAATATTTCATATTTAGAGGCATTATTATTATTATTTATACTTTATTGTACACCACAAAAAAAAAACGATAAAAAAGAACAAATTACAAGGAGTAAAACTTAAGAGGTAGGTACAATAAGGCGGTCTTATCGCTAATAAGCGATCTCTTCCAGACAACCTTAAGATTAGGAGAAAGTTGTTCTATTGGACAGTGGGAGGTGGTGTATATTATAGTAAACTTACATACTAATACCTAAATAAACTAAACTGATACATAATGAAAAAAATAATACACTAATATATACATTCAAAATATAATAGACATACATAAGATTAAGTAGGCAAATATACATAAAAATTAAATAAAAAAATACAGAGAGGATACAAAAAATACATGTCGCAAATGATGACCAGTAGTTAATGCACTGTTAGGTAGTAATTTTTGACGTCAGTCTTAAACTTTTCTAGTGTTTTCGCACGACGAATTTGCGAAGGAAGATCATTCCATAAGCAGATGGCCTTAACTGTGAAGGAGTTTTTAAAGTATTTAGTTCGATATGAATGTGGTGCGAGTATAAGTTCTCCGGCTGACCGTAGAACTCTGTCCGGTCTGTCATGACCAAGAAACTTAAAGTTTTCCTTTAGATAGCTAGGAGTCATTGGATCGAATAATACACAGTACAGAAGAGAAACAATTTGTAGGTTCCGGCGAAGGCGAATGGGTAACCACTTGAGCTTTAAACGGAATTCGGAGACATGGTCATATTTGCGCAAGCCAAATATGAACCTAATAGCCAGATTTTGAATACGCTCAAGTTTGTTTAGTTGATCTTCAGTTACATCAAGATAGCTTGCGCCCGCATAATCGAGAATAGAGAGGAGTAAAGATTGTGCTAACATAATTTTAGTAGGAATGGGAAGGAAAGAACGTAAACACCGCAATAAACCCATAGCAGCAAAAGTCTTTCTGCTAACTTCTTTCAATTGATGAGACCACGAGAAAGTAGTATCGAAGTGGATACCAAGATTTTTAACGGTGCTACTGTAAGGTATTACAACACCATTCAATACCACCGAGGGAAAGTTATTCCAGTCAACTCTTGAAATCATCCCAGCACCACCAACAATAATGGCCTGCGACTTACAAGGATTAACCTTAAGCCCATAGTATTTACTCCATTCGCTAATAGCCGCCAGGTCAGCATTGATGGCAGAAACAGCGGTAGGCAGGTTCTCAAGAGTTGACTGCGTATACACTTGAAGATCGTCTGCATACATGTGATAGAGAGAAGAAATTTTGTGACAGATCGAATTAATGAAGATAGCAAAGAGTAAAGGAGACAACACACCACCTTGAGGCACTCCAGCTGGTAGTTCACACCAAGATGAAAATTTATCTTCAACGCGAATACGCTGCCGGCGGCCCCTAAGATAACTTTGAAACCATCCAACCACTGATGGAGATATGTTAATGGAACGTAACAGGCTCAACAAGATATCAAAATCTACGGTATTGAAGGCATTGCTAAAATCTAATAATACCAACACAGTGAGCTGTTTATTATCCATACCTCGTCGAATATCGTCAGTAACTTTAACCAGAGCTGTAGTCGTACTATGACCTGACCGGAAACCGGATTGAACAGGATTTAAAAGGGAATTTCTATCTAGATATTGACATAATTGTTGAAAAACTAGTTTCTCTAGGACTTTAGATAGAAACGGAAGAATGGAAATTGGGCGAAAGTCGGTAAAATGTGAGGCTTGGGCCTTCTTAGGGAGAGGAATTACTTGTGCGCTTTTCCAAGCTTCGGGGAATTTAGACGTGGAGATAGATTTATTCAGGATATGGGTGAGAATGGGAGTAACAAATTCAAGGATTGGTAAGATCATGTTACGACTAACACTGTCATCACCCACGGCTTTAGACGAGATGGACAATATGTTCTTTTTAACATCACAGTCAGTGAAAGGAGTGAACTTAAACGGTGGGAAATTAGGAGTTGGCGTTGAAGAAAGAATACTCAGAGTGCGTTCTTTATCTGAGCTGTCTATTGTACTAGAAGAAGTAAAATGTTGGTTAAGGAGTTCAATATCAAAATTATGCTGAAATGAGCTAGAAGATGCTTTGCCAACTCCAAGTGATTGAAGAAATTTCCAAACCTTGGCAGTGTCGCCGTTTTCGACTGATTTATGAATGTGGCGTCGTTGTGCATCCCTACACAATGTATTGCAGCGATTCCTAACTTTTTTGTAGTTTCGCAGATTTTTGTCAGATCTTTCAGCCTTGAGTTTGCTTTTCGCGAAGCCTTTTTTGATAATAAGATGTTTAAGGTCATCGGTCAGCCATGGCGCAGGTGAGTGCATCATCTTTATTGGTTTTACTGGTGCATGAACGTCATATAGTTGTATGAGAAAAGAGTTAAACAACTCAACCTTTGTATCGACCGTAGAGGCATTTTCCACAGCGGTCCAATCCAAAAGGCGAGCATCTTCAATAAGACGTTCTTTGTCCATTCCACTAAAATTACGTTGCAGAAGGATTCTCGATTTTACTTTAGGAGGACGAACTTTGTATGTAAGAAATAAGAGATCGTGGTAAGAAAAAACATCAGCCTCATGTTGGCCGTGCTTCTGGACAAAATCAGGCGAGGAAACAATAATTAAGTCAAGTAAAGATGGGGTACAATCAGGAAGATTATGTGTAGCAGAAAGCGGTAATATATGTAAGTTACACGCCTGTACAATGGATTGTAGCTTCTTACACCGATTGTCTCTTTTAAGTAAACATGTATTAAAATCACCCATAATTATGGTGTGACTATAGGACGGGGACAATTTTTCTAATAAACATTCAAATGAGGAGAAGTAATCAATGTGGAGAGACGGACTGTAACAAACGCCTAGAAGAATTTTCGTATGAGACAGAGTAACTTCAATAAATAAATGCTCGACCGCATTAGAAGGAGGAGGCTGAGTTGACAAACTTACAACAGTAAAGGGAATGTAAGAACGAAGGTAAATCGCCACCCCTCCACCCCCCTTACCAATACGGTCGTTGCGAATGAGATGAAATCCCGGTAATGAGTATGAAGTGGATGGTAAGCATGGCTTCAACCAAGATTCGGAAACAAGAATAGCGTGAATGTTACGGGACTCAAAAGACGCAAGCATATCAGGATAGTGGGCTGGAACACTTTGTGCATTTAAGTGAATCACATTAAAATTCATCAGAGAATCTGAGAAGTACGAATTAAGGGCATCATTTAACGGAATAGAAGACATTGTACTGTGAAAGCTAAACTCACTAGATGTAACATCACTTGGCAAAGACAAAAAATCATCAAAATCATCATTAACAACACTATTATCGAACGACATTATAAAATAAACTAAAAATATATATAATAAACTATTAAATAACAAAAGGTATGAAAAATAAATATACGGAACCCCAACCCGCCAGCAGTCTGAAAGAGATTTACATTAGTTAAAAAAACATATATCGTATGTTTCAAAGCAACTAACACAAAGTAACAAAAAAATGATAAAATCAAAAAAAAAAAAAAAAACAAATCGTGACGAAAAACGATAAAGTGAAAACTTAAACAGCATTTAGCCAATTTTAAGAATAATGTATTATTGGTAGTATATTAATAACATAATAAGCATGTATAACATTAAATAACCAAAATTAAGCATAACGCTATAAAAAACTAGTTATAAATAACGTTACGTTAATAGCGCTTTTATTGTATCATTTTCACTCATAGACATAGTATTTTCATTGCATAAACGAAACGCAATAAGCAATAACAAAGACAGGTTTTAAATAGTGATTTATAAACTCTATGGTTGAGAATTCTGCTTTACAATCTGTGGTTGTAACTGCACGATTACATCTAGCTTGCTACATATATATTTATCTATGATTACATCATTACATTACACAAATGACGTTAACGAAATGTCTTATGATAATCATGTTATGGCATACACAAACAATAAAAAAAAAATTAGGAATTCGGTAAATTAAAGTTAAATATTAATTGATAATGCTACATATAACATAAAACACAAAAAATAACTCAACTGTAAATTCCCAATAGACATACAGGCATATTCGAAACAGATACACAAGAGTACATACACGAAAAATTTACTTCTTAGCAACTCTTTTCGACTTAATTTGAGTAGACCTGGTATCTTTTACCGCACTTGCAACAACTGTCACAGCAGACGAGGCCTGCACCACCAACTCCGAGCTCGGGATAACATCCAGGTCCAGTCTGGAGCAGACACGGTGCCGTGTTTGGTCTGGACCTAATACCAATATGGTGCCATCCTTCGTCCAGCACTTCGAAACTCCGAACCGTTTACGCGCCTCCTGGAATACAGCATGTCGACTTTGTGTGAGGAATTCCGACAAGGTGATTCCAGTGCCTTTAAGATTCTTCTTTGCCAGCCATACTTTGTCTTTCATCGCAATGTCGCGAAATTTCACAAGGATCGCACGGGGCCTGTCAGTTCCCGTTTGACCCAGACGGTGGGACCGGCTAATGGAGTCTGATGTGATACCAGGGATTTTTAAGTAGTCGGATAATACCTTCACAGCACAGGCGGTTGTGTTCTCCTTCTTGTCTTCATTTACACCATGCACCAGCAAAATTTTTCTCCGAGATCTCATCTCCATATCATCATTCTGACGGGTTAAGATCTCGATTCCCTACAGTTAGAAGACCTTACGCTGATGTAGCCGCATCTTTAGGGATTCCTTGCGCACGCACTTCATCACAACAGTTATCAAGTACTCACCCTGCTCCTCATGCTTCTCAATCTTATAGAAAGACTATTTTCAGAATTAACCCAACTAGACCTGTTCCAAATTCGGTAGGCTATGATAAGGTAGCACACAACAATATTGTAAGAACCCCTACCTCTTCCCTTCCAAATGGTCATGCTCTTCAAGCTAATTTATCCCCTAATGATAATCTCCTGGAAAACCTTGTGTCCCCCATCTCTGATAAAATTGGCAAAATGGACGACATGCACCTACCGTTTAACGTGAGAAATAAACTTGACATGCTCTTCCAAAAAATTTATAAAATTCAATCGCCTCCACATCCTCCAGTGGAACTGTCGGAGCATCAAGAACAAGAAATCTGAACTAACTAATTTGATAAATACTCATAACCCCTCAGTCATTGCTATTGTGGAAACCTGGCTAAGACCTGGATTACAGATTCAGAATACCTGGCTTTTCGTGTATCCGTGACGATCGCAGCGATGGCTACGGTGGCACTATGATTCTTCTAAATAGAAATCTTACCTCTTGCTCAATCCCCCTTCCACCTCTGCAAGAGAATATTAATGCAACAGCTGTAAAAGTAATGGACATCACAATTGTGTCAATATATATTTCCAATCCTACTCCTGCCTGTATCCCAGAGCTCAACTTTATCCTGTCTAGCATATCTCCTCCTTTTAATGTAATTGGGGACTTCAATAGTCACAATGTACTGTGGGGTTCTCATAAAAATGATTCTTTCTCCTATCTTTTAATAGACGTCTTTAATGAGTTTAACCTTTGCATTTTGAATAAAGGGTCTCCCACCCGCATGGTCTACCCTTCCCAAAGTCCTAATTCTGTTGTAGATCTATCCCTCTGCTCTGCTAATTTAGCTGCAAGTATCAATTGGAACACTCTATCGTCCACCTTTGGTAGTGACCACTTCCCCATCCTTTTGTCTTTGTCCAGTAGAAGCCTTCCAACTAGGAATAAATCATGCATCTCGAAGTTTGACGTGTCCAAAGCCAACTGGGATGTATGTCTTTCTGATATAGAAACTAAAGCTCATTCTCTCCCTCCAGTGTCTCACATTAACTTACAACATGCCTACTCTAATTTTATCTCCCTTTTAAATGAATCTGCTACAAAATCTATTCCCCTTAAAAATAGCTCCATTAACAAACTTTCCTCACCTCCTTTTTTTTTTTTTTATAGTATAAGGGTGACAAACGAGCACACAGTCCACCTGATGGTAAGTGGTTGTTGCGGCCCATAGACATCCACATCTATCATCTGTTACAAATCAAAATGTAGATGCGTTGTCACCCGTGAGGACTAAGATGGAATGCCTCATTTCCAGTAAAAAGGGCCTCCGGCCACCTGCACTCACCAAGCGAAACGCAGAGGTAAACCTCTACTTCACGCTGGTTTTCTGCGAGGTCGTGGTACTACCCCGGTTCGAGCCGGCCCATCCGTGCGACAGCAAAAACTGCCGCATGGCTCTACCACAACAATAGAAGAACACTCTGCGTCCTTGGTGGGACGCAGAGTGTTCTTCTATTGTTAAAAAGCGCAAAGATGCTGGACAACAGTACTCTTCAAATATGTCCATGGATAACTTTATAAATTATAAAAAAATTGCTGCTCAAGGCAAAAAAAACATTCTCGGAGAAGAAGAAAAAAGCATGGCTTTTATTCTGTGAGAGTCTGTCACCTCGCTCTCCAGCCTCCCTTGTTTGAAAAAACATAAAGCGATTTCGTGGTTCTCTCAATGATAGCCAAATAAATAATCCTGACCCCTCACTTTGGATAGACAACTTCTGTAGCAGCTTGTCTCCTCCATGGGTCCTTTCCTTAGGACAGATATTCCCAGTAACCTCGCCACCTTCCCATCTTTTTTATGAATCTATGAATGATACCTTCTCCCTTACAGAGCTTCAGTTGGTGTTGAACCATCTGAAGGACTCCTCTCCAGGTATCGATGGGATCCCCTACTCTCTTTTAACTCACATGGGCCCCACATCCAAAAAATATTTCCTTGACATAATCAATTGTATATATTCAACAGGGGCAGTTCCTGATGACTGGAAAATCCATATCATAATACCTATCCTTAAAACTGGAAAAGAACCCTCTACAGCCACTAGTTACCGTCCAATAGCCATTTCATCCACTCTATCAAAGATAATGGAACACCTCGTCAAAAACCGCCTAGAGTGGTTACTAGAAAATAGAGGCATCTTTCTTAAAAGCCAGTTTGGTTTTAGAAAGGGTTTGAGTACCTCTGACAGCCTCAGCCTTTTGATTTCCAATGTCAGACTTGCATTTTCCCAAAACAACTTCTTTGTAGGTGTCTTCTTGGATGTTTGCGCCGCTTACGATAATGTTATACTTCCGCTGCGCAGGCATAAGATGCATCAGCTGAGCATCCCTGTGAGGATAACGAACTTTGTGTCAAACCTTTTTTCAGGAAGATGTGTTCGTAGTGCGCGTAGAGGGTAATTTCATGCCAGAGAGATACATCTGGAAAGGTCGTCCACAAGGCTCTGTTCTAAGTCCCCTTCTGTATAACCTATATACCCATGATCTAGATAGATCTGTAAACTGTCTGTCCAACATACTCCAATATGCTGACGATTTGGCTCTTTTTGTTACTGATCATTCTTTACCTGACGCCTCTTCTAGAATATCTCGTGCGGTATATTACCTCCAAGAATGGCTTACAGAA